CGTGTAAGGTTTCTCTGGGTACACAGAAAATGGGTAACCAGCAGAAGGGGCAGGGTGCCTTTGTTTCAAGGGGCTTGAATTTGGAGGGCAGCCTACATGGCTCCTAAGAAAGGACAGGGGCCCTCCAAAGGCAAGCAACCAGCCCAAAACCTGCCCCTCAGAGGGCTTATCCCACCTTGTCCTCTTTAGATAAGAATGAAGGGGGGCGGGAGAGCCAGGCCATCCTTGACAGTCTTGCAGCCTTGGAAAAGACATTCTCCCAGAGCCTCCCAAAAGGGTAGCAGGCCAGCTGAACATTAGAAGGGTGGCTAATTGAGGGTTTTGATGAGACATCTTACCTCACCTTTCTTCCCTAGAAGGGAAGCCCAGTGCTTCAGCCAGCCATGAAGGTGAGCTGGACACTGAGTGCAAGTCATCTGACCAGGAGCAGCATATGGGGTCAGAGCCAGTGGGTGTGGGCATGGTCTGTCAGGAAGGTGTGGTTAAATCTAGCACCATACTGCAGGTGTCCAACTGGCCCTGGGGTCCCTGGGGTCAGCCTGCTGTCTCTGGATCCTCAGCTTTGGCCCAGCCAGGCCCTGCTCCAATACCTGGGTCCACTGGGCCATAGGGGCCTTGGAGTCAACCTCTTGCTTCCAGACCCCCAGGAACTTCCCAGGCCAGCTCCACACTGATGCAGGGGCCCTCCTGCCTTGGGGACTTGGGGTCAGCTGGCAGTCTCTGGTGGCACCAAAGAGAAGCTATTGAAAGGAGAATATGTGGGTCTTTACCCTCTTTAGGAAACTGGAGAAGAAGGATAAAGAGGACCTCAATGATAAAGACAAAGAAAAGCTAAAATAAAGGAGGGCTGACAGGACCTAGGCCAACTGGCTTTGGCGCTTTTTTATTTATGCAGATTTCATAGCATGGTCTCATGGTGGGCTGCTCTGCTATTTAAGTATGGGTGAATATGTGGGTGTCTTTAATCTTCTCTTCTGGGAACTGGAGGATAAGGAGGACCTCGATGATAAAGACAAAGAAAAGCTTAAGGAGGGTTGACAGGACCTAGGCCAACTGGCTGCCAGGCTTTTTTATTTATGCGGATTTCATAGCATGGTCTCAGCCATGGCAGTCTCAGAGATGGACAAAAATACTTCCCCACAGTTCTAGTGAAGGACTCTCTGGATTTCTGAATTGAACAAGAACCATAAACAGCACTAGGCCATAGATCCATCAGAGGAATATATATTCATGAATATTGTGTTCTCCTTTTTAGGAAGTCTCTGCTGTGATAAAGTGTGGTAATCCTTAAAAAGTTAGTATTTTTGGACTCATCTGCTCTAAATTATTGTTTACTAAATGGTGAGACCCAGCTGAGCTCTGAGCAGGAGCAGGAGAGAGAGCTGCTAGAGGGGTGAGTGGGTTTTTTTTTTTACTTGCTTTCAGCTGAGGGGATTCAGCTGAGGATATTGTGTGGGAAAACGTGTGTTTAGCAGTGTGTGGAAGCGCTTAGAGTTGTTGCAGAGTCCAGGCTGATTGAGAGAGGGAGAGGAAGGGGCATTGTTTGACTGGGATTGACTGTAATTGAGAGGAAGTGGAAGGGGCATTGTTTTGCCTGTGATTGAGTGCCTGGGTGAATTTGAATAGCTGCTGCCCAACCACTGCTGGGGGAGGCCTCTATTTAAGCAAGCACCTTGCCAGAGGCAGAGGAGACCCAGCTGAGCTCTGAGCAGGAGCAGGAGAGAGAGCTGCTAGAGGGGTGAGTGGGTTTTTTTACTTGCTTTCAGCTGAGGGGATACAGCTGAGGATATTGTGTGAGAAAACTGTGTTTAGCAGTGTGTGGAAGCGCTTAGAGTTGTTGCAAAGTCCAGGCTGATTGAGAGAGGGAGAGGAACGGGCATTGTTTGACTGGGATTGACTGTAATTCAGATCTGTTATGCCAACTTCTCCCGGAAATTCCTGGAGACCCAATCCAAGTTATCTACCAAGGAAAATTGGGTGCTTGTGGCTGTGCGTAAGTTCTATACCGGTGTATACAGAGATCAGATGGCGAATGAGACGCTCGCTATATCCCAGGAAGTGAGACAACACGCTAGTGCTTAAATAAATGTTGTCTTTACTAAAGGGTTTTTCATCAGTCATACAAAAATCGGAATCATACAAATTCATACAAGCTCCTTAGTT